TTTGGTTAATTTGTGCTCAATATAACATTCAGATCAAAGCGATTCATATTCAAGGAATAAACAATCGAGCAGCAGATATATTGTCACGTTGAACATCAGTGTTGACCGTTATGGAATAACCGTTTCACAGATGATATCGGATATGTTCCTTATGTCGTAACTACAATATCCTTCCCTTTTCACGAATGTGACTTACCGAATTAGACTATTTACCGGATTTGTAATAACATAAGCAACACGACGGGTGCCACATGTGGAGCAGGATCTACTTACCCTTCCGGAGCACCTGAGATCACCCCCAGTTTTTGGTGGGGTTCGTGTTGCTTAGTCTTTAGTTTTCTATGTTGTGTCATCTGTACTATTATTTGTCTGTTTGTCTTTTTATTTTTGGCCATGACGTTGTCAGTTTGTTTTCGATCTATGAGTTTGACTGTCTCTCTGGTATCTTTCGTCCCTCCTTTTGAAAAACCTTATGCAAAACTGTCGACTGTTTTAGATGACAATTATATGTTAGATATTGAAGTGTCGGATAACTTATTTAAGTTAGACTTTTCAATTTAATTTCAGAAACCGGATCAGATGAATGGCTATCACTTCGTCGGAAAGCAAGAACAGTTTTAAAAGCAGCTTTCAGACCGGGAACTTTTAAAAATTTGAGGACTCAGCTTAATAAATACCTTTTGTTTTGTGAAAAGTTTTTTAGATCAGCATTTCCTGTTGATCAAGAGACACTCTGCGGATATGTGTGTTTTTTGTCAGATAATTTTAAGAGTAGTGGATCCGTTAGAAACTACTTATCAGGTGTTAAAACTTGGGCCATTCTGTTAAATTTTGATCCTGAGGAATTTAATTCACCTTCGCTCAGGCTAACCTTGTCAGGTATTGACAACCTTAAACAAATGTTCCAAATACAAAATTACCATTTGAACCATATCATCTGAACCGTATGTTTGAAGTCCTAGATATGACAAGTGTACAGGATGCTGTGTTGTGGGCTGTTATTATGATAAGCTTTTATGCTATGCTTAGAAAATCACAATTCGCTAACAATTCAAGGACAACGTTTAACCCTAAGGAGCAGTTAACCAGATTAATTATCGATATACAGTGGTCAAAAACTAGTCAAAAACACAAAAGTATTCACCAGATTCCTCTTAAAAGAGTTGAGGATTGTGTTCTATGTCCGGTACTGGCTTATTCTAGAATGGTAAAAATATTGCCTGCACTACCAGAAGAACCCGCTTTTGGTCTAAGTGATAGTAAGGGAAAGATCTGTGCCTTTTCAAAGTCAGACATAGACAAAATTATTCACAAACTCTTAGTGTGTTGCGGAATGGATACTTCACAATACTTGTTTCATAGCTTGCGTAGAGTAGGTGCAACTTGTGCATCAGCTGCTGGATGCACAGACTCGGAAATTTGTACAATAGGCAATTGGGCTTCCTCTTGCTACAGGGGCTACATCAAACACTCTACTGACAAACTTTATTACATCTCAAGCAAAATGGGACTTTTTTGCAAACTTTCCAACTGATAAACTTCCATATTTTTGTCATCAATTTTTTTCTGATTTCTGTGCTTGGCATTGCGTTGCCTTGGTGATTGTGGTGTTCAGTTTTAATATGACATATTGTTGAACATAACATTGTTTCTTTATGCGTGTTTGCATATTTACATTTTGTATGCGTATTTGCATTTGATTTATTAAACACCACCTTTGAATGCCAGCACAGACTTCAGTTTTATATAGCCACTCTGAAAGTACAGTACAAATTGGTTAAAAATGGCTAGTCATTTTGTTTAATTTGTTCGGGGCGTACTCCATGTTTTAGATTCACCACTTTAGATCTTTCTTAAAAGAGATAAGTTTAGCACATAATATTGATCTAAATTTTGAAAGAAACCACGTTTTTATCCCTCCTGCCCACCCAATTAGGATCATTATTTGTATTTCATATGTATGTATGTTGAAATGTTTTTTCTTGACATGTCTTAACTTACAACTTTAGTGAAATGTTGTTTGCCTTTTTTTTTTAATTTTCAGAAAATTATTTTTAACTTTATAGGTGATTGTGGTGTTCAGTTTTAATATGACATATTGTTGAACATAACATTGTTTCTTTATGCGTGTTTGCATATTTACATTTTGTATTCGTATTTGCATTTGATTTATTAAACACTACCTTTGAATGCCAGCACAGACTTCAGTTTTATATAGCCACTCTGAAAGTACAGTACAAATTACCGCGTAAAATAACATACGATGGGAGGAGAGTGTGAATCCTATGTCTCGAGTAAGCAAAATTCCACGCTCTTTAAGCGTTAAAGAAGCCTTGAAGAACAACGTTTTAGTGGTCTATAGTTAGGCAACATTTGTGTCCCTTTATATATGTAACATACTATCTTCTTCATGTGGGAGACTGTATTTACAGTCTGTTATCTCATTACCCTCCCTTCAATTTAGTAGCCTTTACAAAGTGAAAGAAAAAGGAGATTGAAATGCACAATAAAAAGTTGAAGAGAAAGACGGGCAATGTTACATAGGATTGATATTTATATTCATAGTTGAAAAAATGAACCAAAGACGTTTGAAATGCTTAAAAGGAAAAGAGATATGCACTGGTTTCTAAGAAATTTCTAGTGATTATATACGATACACGGTATATACTATCTAGACAGCTTACGGACAAAATCAGCGTACTGATTGGTTGATTTTTGGCTGCTTAACGTCCAGTGGCTGTTCATAATGTAAAACCTATTTTATCATTAATAAATTTTCAGAGTATTTTTAAGTTTTATACGGAGTTGTCCCCCCAGTTCATCTGTAATTGGTCATTTGCATTTTTTTCAGACATCGGAAGTACATACATAAGATGGGGAAGATCAAGATGTCCAAATAACAACAGAACTGAACAAGCCTATTCTGGTATATAATTTAATTTTTAGCTACAAGCTGTAAAGAAGATTCTAATGGTACAATATAAAATCATAAATTGAAAAGAAACATACAATTATACTATTGTCAAAATGAAAACGACGAAAAGACAAGCAACAGTCTACAAAACTCAACCCTGACAATTAAAAACATAGCTACCCGAACCCCATTAAAATCCAAAAGGGTAACGAGTTGCAGCTCTAAAGTTGCACCCGTCGTGTTGATATGACAATTGGAACATATGTATGGTCATCTGTGACACAGATATTTTATATAAAAACTACTATGGCATCCGTACAAATTTCGAAGGGATGGTTTCAACTTTACCATTAGATTCCAAACGCCCCTGGATAAGAAGTTTCACAATAACTACAAAGCACGTCTTTGATTGCGGATAAAATATATATTGATAATTTGAAACATTCATATCGGATTGAATTACAAAAAGGATTATTTTAAAATTTTACGTATTATTTTATTTTCAAAATTAAAAGAATTTCCTGCTTTAAGTTTTGCAGGTGGGGGTCATTACAGCGAGAGTGGTTCGGGTGCGGAATATGTGTGCTAACCACCAGACCCAAACTTCGAGAAACTGGAACAAAATTTGGACGAATGTACGGGACTGAATACGATTCGTTTAATTGTTTTGCTTCTAATTTCATGGATGAAGATGTGGTCATACGCGTTATGTCGATCCCTGCACTCAACATCAACCATAATGATAACTGGAAAAAATGTCTGATATTCCGGATGGCGAGTGGAGTATCATGAATACTTAGTTTCCGCTGCATACAACCACCCTACACAATCCTCATTTGTTTGTGTAGACTAGACTCCGGAATATATCCTTGGAGGTGTCGACGACCATCAGGGAAAGTAATTCAATGGTGATGTAGCTCACTGTGGCTCGCTTAAGTGTCCCCCTTACATCAATCATTCCACTTTAACATCTTCTGTTTTTTGCAAAATGATTAAATTTTGCTTTAAGGCTTATAAATGAAAACTCGTTTCGCTCTTGTACGTCATAGTTTAAGAGGGGTTTTAAAAATTCAATAAAAAAAAATATATATACATGTATATACTAGTAGTACTTCGTCTCAAATTTCGCCTACAGCATAAGCACATTTTTTTTCTTCACTCAGCTGGATTCAAACCCCTGCTTCTGTGACATCGAGGCAACACTGCATGTACTGTGTCCAGCGCCCCCTTTCTTTTTTTTATCTTAACAACTTGGTCCATCGCCCTATAGACCACTCGACCAACTAGGCTATAAAAAATATAGCCTTCGTTAGTGGAATATTGCCTTTCCTCATCCTTTCCGGTGTTGCCTAAAAAGCGAAAGACATCTTCGAGGTTTGATTAGAAACTAAACAATTAATATTCTTATTAGTTGTCTTTTTGCACGTCTTTTAATATACCCAAATGTACTAAACGGGTCAAATTATATTTAAACAGATAAGAAGTTAATGTTATGGAAACGTCTTATGCGACGTCCACAAAAAGTCGACTTTAAAAAATGAGCAATTAAAATATGTCAAATACATCAATGTCTTACACAATGCATAGAAGGCATGCACTATTGTCAAATTGTTCTAAAGATGTGGAGAAATAAAACAAAACATCAGTTATAAGATTTTGACAAATGTGTATTTAAGCATTTTTTTAAATTTGGTTTCAGGTTGAATGCATGATGCAACTTGTGTACTATGACGTTGGATGTGATAACTCTATATATACATTTCGACTAATAGTTATATATATATATATATATATATAAATTTTCTTCTTTAATAAATAGAGATTTGTATGTTGATACTTTATGTTCCTGAATTATTAGTGCATGTCTTGGTAGTGCAATGACACTTGAAAAATCTATTTGTTTGTAGTTGATAATATTCAAGGTTACTTCAAATGTAGGATCAAATCTTCCATTCATTCATATGTTGCTTTATTTAGATATTATCAGATTCAACCGATTAAATCACAATTTAATGCCTATTATTAGCAAAAAAGGTATAGGGTTAGTGTTGTGTGACTAAATAATTTTTTTTTTACCTAACCGTACTTTCCAAAATGGCACACAGTGACGCTTGGAAAACCTGTCTGAAACCAAGAAAGGAATTAGAAGAGGTATATGTTGGGCATCATCATAATCTTACAAATAGGTTTTGTTTTCAGAATCAGTTTTATTGTATGTCAAAAGTTCTATGACATTGGTTTTATCAGACAAATATGTTGGTTCAACAGTTGAATGTGGAGGTGATGTGTTATGAAAAATACATTCTTATCGCTATTTGTTCGCCATTGCTGGACATCACATACTTTCTCGTAAAATTTTGACATCACAAGAGAAAGTGCCTGAGCAACAAATGCAAAAGTGATTGTTGTATGACGTTAATAGTTCTACTGTCGCAAAATGTCTGGTCAAGTGTCGCAAATTCTGAAATAGCCTTAAAAAGTCTTTCTCTATACACATATATTGATTATGTACGAAGATTATTTGTACCAATTCTTATTAATAAATCACCGGTGAATTGTTTTTAAATAAGATAAAAAAATACAGCAAAAAGTGCTGTTTTTTTTCTAAAATCATGAAAATCTAATAAAAATGAATAATTTCCGAAAAATGGTGACGAATGCCTATGAAAATAAGGTATTCCAAATGGTTATACAAACATCCGCTTGTGTTTATCTTTTGAAACGAAAAAGTTAGGTATGTCTGTCCAAGGTTAGAAATGTCCAAAAACCGTCTAAAATTTCGACCCAAAATATATCTAAAAGCAGCACATGCAGGTATATGTTTTTATTTCGTATTTAAATTAACTAAGTTAAAATTAGCTTGTATGGAAATTCTCGTCAAAAAATCAAACCGTTGAATCAAAACTGTATCGTATGCATTAAAAGTAAATTATTAAACATGTGTTAAAAGGACATTGTGATTTTGAAATGAAATAACAGGATAAAGAGACCAAAATGAAAGAAAGATATAAAACTGTATTAAATCAACCAACTTTTTGCTACCCCGGGACGTATTTCTTTAAAGGAACAAGTTAATGACGTACGTACTGGCACGATTTAATAATGCATTTCGCATATACATTTTCAGTTAATGAATAATGTAAATATATTAAAACTAAAGTTGCAATTCCCCCGGGCACTTTAAAGTTGATATCAGACTTCTTTCTGTTCTGTTTTTGGTCTTTTTTTCTTACTGCTACCATATGATTTTGCATGTATTTGAATGTTTGGCTTTCCCTGTTTTTTTTTTTTATCTCAAACATACCTGGTATAAGCTCTCGATTGTCTGTTGATGTTCAATTCCTTTTTAAGCCCGAAAAGTATGTGTGGTGCTGCTAAATGAGATACGGAAAACCCTGATGCTTAAGTTCTGTTCAGCATCGTACATGTCGTTTTTTAGCAGTTGGTAAATACACACACGGTGCTGCGGTAATGGGAGTCATGTGTGTGAAACTGGGTTATTATGATTGGTAGAAGGTATTTTTAGATACTAGTGTAGAATATTAAACATGATTTAAGACATATTTGATAGTAATATTAATGTCTTTAGATGGACTGAGCTGCATGGCCATATGTCGAAAAACATAGGTGTGGTAACAATTGGAAATTTGAGTTAGACGAAAAAGTTTATCGAGCTTGATTTGAGTTGAGTTTCTGATACTGATCCACTCAGTGCTAAATAAAAAAGGATATCGTCAATAATGTTCTCTTAAAAAATGCAGACACGTTTCGGTTATATTTTTCTTTAAACAGTTGGAACGAAAATCTCCAACGAAACAATTAACCAATGTGTAGCCTTATTATTATCTTTTTCACCAACACATCCATGCACAAATTCAAATACTTGCTAAAAATAGCATCAAAAGAAAACGAACAATATTGATAATTGTATCTGATTGTCAATAGTTGCTTGATAAGGCATGGAAGAGGGTTTGGATGGGGGTTTACAGAATAGAGAATAACGGGCAAAAAATATAAAGAATAGAGAAAAATGGACAAAAAAAAATAAAGAATAGAGAATAATGAGGTGAAAAAATATAAAGAATAGTGAATAATGGACAAAAAGTATAAAGAATAGAGAAAAATGGCATAAAAAGTTAAGGAATACAGTAATGAAGGACCCCCCCATCCAGACCCTCATTGAACATTCAAATTGTTTGAAGTGGGTGGGAAAATTATTTTTTTTAAAATAAATTATTTAATTTTTAATTTCTTTAAAAAATCGTTTGCTATAGATTATAAAAATATCTTTTTTATATTGGAAATAAGAAAAAAACATTGATTCTGTATGTTATAAAACAGTTTATCCTGTCTATGTATTTGTTTGTTCAAGTTGAGAAAAAAATTGTTTGTGAAGAGAAAAAAACCATGACCACCACCCACACAATGAACAGTCGGCACCTAAAGGTATTAATATCAAGGCTGTATAAACAAGATAAAATAAGATACTGTGATCATAGAATTTAATTCCATTTTACAATGTATTTCTTTTTAGGTTCTTGAGAGAATCAACAAATCAACAGAAATAAAAGACGCGCACATTGAGTTGTCTTGCGGGTCACGTGCGGAGGATTTAGTCAAGTTCCTTGGAGAAAACTTTATTCCTGACGACACGTTATGTAAATCCGTTGGTGTTGAATATGATGAAGATGCGAGGCAGTTCTTATTGGAATTTTTGTCGGATAATCTTTCTGTTATTTGAATTCACAACCAAACTAATGAAATTATTGCAAGCTTGGGATTTGTCTTAGAGTATAATGGAATGCCGGAAGTAAATTTAGCCAATAAGAAATTTGGTCTGGCAGCGGGATATCTGAACTATAAACAGGAGGACATGAACGTATATAAACGGTTTAAATGTAACAAATCTGTAAATCTTGCTTTCCTCTGTACCCATATACAGCATAGGGGCAAAGGATTAGCAACCACTGTATTTAAGGCGGTTCTAGCGTTCGCTAAAGAAATGGGATCAACTCCTGTTTATTTTCATGGAGAAGGGTCTGCTCTTGCATCTCAGAAAATATTTGAAAACTTTGAATTTGAGATAATTCGCAGGTTTAAAAACGCAGAATATGAAGTTGATGAAGAGTTTATCTTTAAGAATACCGGAGACGTCAAGGAACTCAAATGCTATGTTAAAGAAATACACTAGCTGTATATATTCAATAGCTACAACAATATGATATACACGTAGCTTTTTAATATTTTATCAAACGTTGACAAACACATATGGATTGGCCCTAATACACCAATAAACCTAAAGATAGTACAGCAACATGTATGAAACGTTGATCATTTAAGGGTTTTCTATGACGTCGATCCATTTTGACATTATCCAAGTTAACTTCACCAAGGATGTGACGGAAATTATTTGGGTCTAGTCATACCTGTTCTGAGGTGAGACTTACACATATTTTACCAATAGTGAATTATGATTGGTCGTTTTGCGATTTCCTTACTGAAAACCAGTATTTTGGTCACGAGTAGGACTTCAATTACATTGCATGATACCTTTTCGGAAAGTATGTATTCGTATCTATACAAAAAGCCATTCCCAAATTTCCTGACTTGTTACGCGTCTCACATATGTTATGGTCTTGATTTTGGGACCCGGGGGTTCTATCATTAGGTTTCTCTTTATCATTTTAACTTGTTTTTCTGTATTCTTAATTGTTGCCCTTTATTCTCTTCATTTATATTTGTAACACCATTTTATTCTTTATTCTTATATTTTTGGTTATTTTTTCTCAATTCTTAATTTTTTGCCAATTTTCTCCGTTTCATTTACTCCATCTGGCCACTAATATGCCTATTTTACCTCGATCTGTAGGATGACAAAATGTAAAAGGAAAACGCACAACTTAAATTAGTCAAGAAAAAGAACTTAACTCAATACTATCGGTCATCTACCGAGAAAATACTGCACTTCGTAAACACGAAAATCACGAAGAAAAGATCGCAGAGCCAAGGACCTACGTCTTTGCTTTGGAAGTTGTAATAATGGTATGACAGACAAAAAGGAGAGTTGACGTTTCTTATATTGAAACAAAGTTGACCTAAAGAAGATTTCAATTCTTATGACAATTAATTACCTCCAAGCATTGAGGATAAAGTAAATCCAGTTGCTGTTGTCTTTATTTCCCCGTAAAACTCATGTTTTATATTTTGATCAAAGTTGAAGTAGACATTACGAACAGTATATTCTGGACATACAGTTATGTCGAATTTGGATATCAAGCTACATTCTGTCAAAAAGAAAATAGCAATGAATCACATTTAAAACAATTATCATGTTCATAAATACCCTTTTTGAATACGATGTTAGGTACCAGTCTTGTACTACAACTCCAGTTTGCGGTGCATGTCAAAACATGGAGGGAAATAAAATAGTCCATTTTCTTCTGAATTTTTTTCTGGACTGTTTTTTTCTGTTTGATTAAAATTTTATGCTGACATGAAACATATATTCAGATTTAAAATAAATAATACATCTTTTTGGGATACCAAACCAGGAAAGTGGAAGGATATCATGTTTTCTAGAAGTGGTGTGGCCTAGTAAAAACAGCAAACAGAAAGTAGAAAAAATTGTTTTGACTTCAGGGTTTCTTAGTTTCTTATTCTTCGTGGCATGAGGCACTTTTTTTCCCATTAAATCACAATTTCACATTAATACATACATGATATATACATGACATTTTTATCTATGTACCATTTTATTTTACAAAGATCAACTGTTTTGCATGTAAGCCTATGGAGCAGTCAATTACAAGAGTGCAACCGTTATACCTACGCTATCTACATTATTGCACAATTCTGCTATATACAGATTTAATACCAGATTTAAAAGAAAAAGGCTCTATAGATATGAGATACATATCAACATATCAAAGTAAAAGAGCCAAAGTTCAATGTCGTTTAAAATGTAGCTCAAACTTATACACTTGAATATCATTTAAAATTTGTTATATTAAGCATACTCTGTTAAGGAAAAGTATGTCTTAACTGAGAAAATACACCAGTTTAATAAATTGCTACGGTTTTTCACAAATAATTATGTCGTGTGGTTTTGGGTTATAGACTTCAGGAGTATTTTTGTCTATTATTTTCCGATCAAAATGCTTAAAAGATGAGCACTCTTGTGTTACGCATACCTTTTATAATCGCATGCCCTTGAACCCACAAGAAAAAAAAATAAACATCTCAACTATTTGTTTTCATCTGTTATTCGAGAATACGTAAAAATCTTTGTCTACATATTTTCAACGATCACATGATAGAGAGAACAGGTAAAAGAAACGAAATAAAATCTCTTGATTGCTGTAGTATAAAACTGTAAACCATGCACTTATGTCAAGTCATGTATGCATTTATAATGAATCTTATATCGTAAACTATCAGTGATTGAAGATATGCTATAAATATTTTAAAGCTTTTGTGAATTTCAATAACGCAAGAGTTCTCATTACTTCTAGGATGCTTTTATCACCAATTCTCTCAGGTTGAAATATTTGATTGCTTAAGAAGATTAAATGGTAATCGAATTGCAAATGGGCTATTTTAATATATCAAGGATAAATGAATATAAACAACTGTTATGCTTGTATTTTAAAAACATATGATCTTATGAATCCCTCTTGTATTGTACTAATTCATCCGACAAAGTCAGTACTAGTCTTCTTCATTTTCAGAAAACGATATCTGTAATAATCTGTAAACTATTAGCTACTTCTTTACAAGCAGAACCAAATACAATGAAAGTCCCAACTATGTACTGGCTTCCGAAGCTACACAAATCACCTTACAAATACAGATTTATTTCGTCTTCAAGTCATTGTTCCACTACTAAATTGTCTATTCTACTTACTAGTACACTTGGTGCAATCAAAAACCTGATAATAAATTGTTCAAATAAGGCCTTCGAAAATAGTGGAATCAACTACTTTTGGAGTGTCAAAAACTCGTTTGAAGTACTTGATAAATTGCATGCATATATTGGTGATTTTGAATCTGTTCAAAGTTTTGATTTTTCTACCCTATATACCACTTTGCCTCATACTCTTATTAAGAAAAAATTCACACACCTAATTAAATGGGCATTTCAAAAGTCGGAATGCCAATACATATGTTCAAACTCTTTTAGGTCATTTTTTAGTAGCAACAAACAAAAGAGCTATGTCAATTGGACATGCTTTGATACTATATCTGCCCTTGAATTTTTACTTGATAACATTTTTGTTCGCTTTGGAGATTCCGTATATCGTCAAGTTATCGGAATTCCAATGGGGACTAACTGTGCACCACTTATTGCGGACCTGTTTTTGTATTGTTATGAGTTACAATTTATGATTAAAATCAGCAAAGACCCATCGAAACAACATCTGATACAAAAATTTAACAATACTTTTAGATATTTGGATGATATATTGGCTCTCAATAATGACGACTTCAGTATGTATACTAAAGAAATTTATCCTGTTGAACTTACTTTAAATAAAGCTAATACTAACAATGACTACTGTCCTTTCCTTGATCTTGATATCTATATCATGAACGGGAAGCTTCATACAAAAATCTATGATAAAAGAGATGATTTTTCATTTCCTATCGTTAATTATCCATTTTTAGATGGTGACGTTCCCTTATCTTATGGTGTTTATATATCTCAACATGTACGATTCGCTCGTGTATGTAACAACGTATTAGATTTTAGCGAGAGAAATTTATGTATTACTGAAAAATTATTACACCAGGGTTTTCGATATCATAAACTAGTCAAAACATTTACTAAATTTTATCATCGGTATAAGGACATCATTCGTAAATATAACTCAACATGCAGACATCTTATACGTTCGGGTATTTCACATCCAATCTTTTATGGTAATATTCTTTACAAAGCACAAAAATGTCAGTATTCACCTCAAAAGCTAACAAAACCTTTAAACAGACTTATTAAGAAGGGATATAGTTACGATACTGTTGTCAGGTCATTAAAGATTCCATATTTTGGGATTAATATTGATTCACTTATAGGGTCTTTGCATCGGAATTAAACACATTTATTTAAAAAAAAAAAAAAAAAAAAAAAAAAAAAAAAAAAAAAAGTTGTTGGCAGGCATGATACGGGTTATGTTCTTCTCATATATTTTATGATGGTATGATACTAAACCCCTAACGGGAGGGATTGTACTTGATTTTCATATGATGAAGACATAATCTTTCAATCAGTTTAATTGAGGTCTGGAGCTGGCATGTCAGTAACTGCTAGTAGTCCTTTGTTCAATTATGTATTATTGTCATTTTGTTTATTTTCTTTTGTTTCCTATTCTGACATCGGACTCGGACTTCTCTTAAACTGAGTTTTACTGTGCGTACTGTTGTACGTTTTTTTTTCTACATTGGCTAGAGGTATAGGGGGAGGGTTGAGATCTCAAAAAACATGTTTAACCCCGCCGCATTTTTGCGCCTGTCCCAAGTTAGGAGCCTCTGGCCTTTGTTAGTCTTGTATCATTTTTAATTTTAGTTTCTTGTGTATAATTTGGAGTTTAGTATGACGTCCATTATCACTGAACTAGTATACATATTTGTTTAGGGGCCAGCTGAAGGACGCCTCCGGGTGCGGGAGTTTCTCGCTGCATTGAAGACCCATTGGTGGCCTTCGGCTGTTGTTTGCTCTATGGTCGGGTTGTTGTCTCTTTGACACATTCCCCATTTCCATTCTCAATTTTATTCTTAACGCATGACGATAGTACAACATTGTTGTATTAAATCGACCAAAATGTAGAATTTTAACAGGTAAATTTAATCATGTAGTTTCATCCTTGGATAAGATCACAAAAACCTAGCCCAAACGGTGACGAAATCCAAGGTCTAATTGAACACAAAAACAACCAACCATGTTAAATAGGGTTTCTTAATAACTGACTGGCAAAACAGAATCACATTTATGACTCACAGAAATATAATTTGAATTTGAAATCATTAATTTAATAGAAAACGTTTTGACAGATTAAAATCGTTATCACGAGTTTTATAATTTGTTTCATAGAATTATGATTCGCTATCACATATTTGATTCGTGATAACAAATCTAAAAAAATAGTAATCATAGATTTTGTATTTCGCTATTTTATAATTCGAGCTAATGGATTGAACAGTGAAAACAATAACCGTAATTTTTACTACACTTACTTGTATTTTTTTTTAACTTTCAAAAGGAACAAATACAGGACTGTCCATTCACAGCCTAAAGAAGCAAAAACCAAAAAAAAACCAAAAACGTGAAGATTATAAAAAAAGGCATTAATCGTTGATTGCAAATTTGATGCATGTACATGTCCTTTTCATTTCTAAATGTAGTTTTTGTTTTATCTTGGAATCCTAACCTCAAAATTCAA